GTTGAGCATGGTTGCAGTAGTCCGTCGCCGACTCCTGCTCGCCCATCCGAATGTGTATCATCTTCTCCTCCAGCCGTCCGATGTACATGTCGTCCTTCACCTGGTATGTCGACAGGATGAAGTGCCATGCTTGGTGACCAGCATCCAGTCGCTCTCAACAGCTTCTGAGCGCTAGCTGCACCACTGGCGAGCAGCACCTCGAGATGACCATGAAGGTGAGAAAGTGATCAGCACTAAACTCTCCTCGCATCTCGTCCTCTTACTTGGGCAGAATGGGCACGATGCCGTCGGCGAAGCCCTTCAGCCCGGCGACCTCTAGCTGAGGTTCTATCGACTCCCTCAAGGTGATGAGGTCCCGTCGACCTTGAAGAGGTGTGACGGTGATCCGGTCTGGCGAAAACTTGAAGTAGCCATACGCCGGTGCGATCCTGCCCGTCGTCACGTGCGTCGTCGCCGAGAGCCATCCACAGCTACGTAGAGGAGAGCAACGTCGACCATCGACGTCGGCGCGCGAGCTACCTGCATCCGCCGTCGACCGCTGCACTCGCGCCTGACTCCTCTCGATGCCACCGTCGACCTTGATCACCCCTCTCTGCTTTGTGCCATCGTTGCCGCTGACTCGTGCACCACCGTCGACCTCGTCGTCGACGCCTCCTTCGTTTCGCCCGTCGCCAAGGGTGCTCCGTCGCCCACTGCGCCCGGATGCCAAACTCGACAATCGCCAAGGGGACCTTCCCGTTACTCGCCATCCTAAATGCGTTTCCGCGTATCAGCCAAACGTGCCTCCAAGGTGTCCTTGCGGAGATAACTCTATCAACGGGAGCAAGACTACGGGCTAGGCACGGGGTAGGAGGGATCTCTGCATTCGTTCCTTTGTCGTTTACTTGTGCTTGCACTACTTGCTGGTTCACGGAGAAAGTTGGCAAGGGTTTCACTAGCAAAAGTTCACAACAATGATTGGAACAACATTGGCAATATAGACTACATCAGACCTAGCAAAGTTGTTGGTCGACTGCCAGCACAGCACGGTCGACTGCCAGCACAGCACGGTCGACCGCGTGCCAGCACGACTTGGTCGACCACGCTCCAGGAGAGCAAAGTCGCGGCTTGCCAACGTTGCAAGTTCGCGGTGCGCCCAACACTGCAGCAAGTCGGCTGCACAGCGTTGCATCCGCAGGACAACGGTGCACCTGCTTCGCAGGTGCGCGCAGCTGGTTGGTGCGCCACTCCTCGTCACGAGCACAGCACAGACGCCTGGCAGACTCTACGCCAGCGACTGCGCCCACCAGCCACGTCGACCTCGGGATACCACCCCCGAGGTCGGCCTCGTAGAAACCACCCCCGGTGACCTTCGCATGCTTTCGCAGAAGTCTGTCGCTCGGGTAACACGGTCAATTGGACAACCAGGTCGGCACTGTCAGGTCCGTATCCTCCCTAGTCGGTGTCCCCTTGTCGACCACTTCGGGACTAGGCCGCCGACTTCGCCAAGTCGTCGGCCACCCAAGGTCGGCGCCCTCCACCCCGACGCCCTGCTAATCGACACCCAGCTGCTCGACGTCCTACTCGACGCTCTCCAGCTGGACAACCTCCCCTGTCGAGGTCGACGTCGGCCCCTCCGTCGTCGACCACCAGGTTCGGTCGACCTCCTGGTCGACCACCCCAAACTGGGCGCCTTGAAGTCGACGCCCTTCGCAGTGGCCCCTGTGCGGGTCGACCTCCTCGTCGACCAGCTCGCCTACTGCTGTAGGTTGGCTGCACTCCGCCGTACACCTGACCACGAGGTCGGCTCCGCCCAAGCGAGGAACGTGACACACACAACTCCTGTTGACACTCCCCTGCCGCATTCACGCTTGGGCCCTCAGCCCACGCGACAATACTTCTCGGAGAATAGCTCGTCGCTGTGCACACAACACACAGCACGCCGGTCACCACCGCACCAGCCATGCAAGAGGGCATGGCACCTACTGCTGCACGTCGTCGTCACCGTCGCCCACGTTGGCCAGGCGTACTTGGCCGATTGCAACGAAGCACCAGTTGAAGGCCGGATAGTGCAGCGCCTTCGTCAGGAAGTCGGCTGGCTGCTCAGCAGTTGGGATGTACTTCAGCGAAAACTTCCCGCACTTCACCATGTGCTGCAGCCAGGCCTGTCGCCGCTCCTGTGCTTGAGGTTGCGCATCAACCCCATGCCCTCGGCGACCGTGATGGCCGACTTGTTATCCACCCGAAGGACGGTCGACTTCCCGGCATCCAGCTGCTGGAACTATGCGAGGAGGAAGTGAAGGCGGCGTCCCTCCTTGCCTGCTTCGGTGGCCGCCACGTACTCCGACTCGGTCGATGACAGCGTCGCACACTTGATGCGCTGGCTTGACCTGGAGACTGCGGCCCTTCCATAGACGAACACGTAGCCGCTCGTGCTCGTCCGGCTCTGCTTGTTGCCGGCGTCGTCGGCGTCCACGTAGCCGACCAACTCCAGCGTCTCAGGTCCACCGCCGAACTCCAGAGCGGTGTCACGCGTGTTGGCGAGGTAGGCGAGGCAGCAGACGACCTCGCGCCAGTGCTAGTCGCTCCTCACCGTGAGGCCGCTCCCCCAGCTTGCAGCAGGCGAAGGCGATGTCCGGCCTCGTTGTCGTAGCCCAAACTACAGCGAGACGACCTTTTGCCGGTACTCCTGGCACTCCTGCGCCTCCTCGTCGTCGAAGGTGAGATCGGCGTAGGCGTCGACCGAGACCGGCGTCTTTGGGGTGCGCCCGGTCTGCTCCTCGTCGATGAAGCGCCTACGCAGCTTGTCGGCGTAGCCCTGCTGGTGCAGCCCAACTTCCTTGCCGGCCTGTCGCGCACGATCTCCAGCCCGAGGTACTTCTGCACCGGCGAGAACTCGCGCACCTCGAAGGCGGCCTCCAGCAGCTCCTTCAGCTCCTTTAGCATCTCGGCACAGCTGCTGGCAGCGAGCAGGCCGTCGACGTAGACCAGCACCCAGCAGGCCATCTTGTCGTCGCCGACCTTGAAGTACAGAGCCTCGTCGACCTGGCTATTTTTGTCACAATATATTTATATCTATTTAGTATAATCTGCCTGTAGTGTAGCTGCTGTGTAATTCCCTTGTGTGGTGGTGCACCTCTTTCACCTTTGTTAGGTTGCTATATGTACTCGTGTGCTATAGTGAACCTCCAACCATTCTCCAATCCTCCTTGGCACAACTCCCTCGATACCCACTTGGCCTAGGCTTCTAAGCCTAGGCCCTTAGTTAAACCCAGTTACCCGCTAAGTTACTTTCTTGACATGGTATTGAGCTAGCAAGTTCCTAGCCTGTACAATTTTATGGGCCCACCAACCCGTAATTCGTCACCCGTCGCACGTCGCCCGTACGCCTCGTTGCTTGCCGTCGATCGGACCCCCGCAGTTCCTCGTTTCGCGCCCCGAAGGCCCCCTATTTCGCACCCCGAATACTGTGAGAAATAGTGAGCACAGTGAGGAGCCATAGCTAGGGTTTAGCTAGCTAGGCAAGAGAGAAATGAACAAAGGAGGGGTTTCACTAGCAGCAGTTGGGATACATATAGCAAACCCTAACAGGGTTGTATTCGCTATAGAGCACCCCACTACAGGCTAGATAATAACATTCTGACACACCCCCATAGCCAAAGTGGGGTGTAATCAGCAGAGCACACAGTCATAGAGCAGGTGCACAATTGCAAGCAAAGCTAGAGGCTATCACAGAGGGCAAGTGAGGAGGAGGAGGAACTGTGGAAGGAGAGAAGATGGGAGGCAACGACTGAAGCTGCAGAGGCACGGGCACAGGAGCGGCTGACTCAGTGGCTACCGAAGCAAGGGCGACGGACTACTGGAGTGACTGGCTCCGCGGCTAAGACGAGCGGCAGGAGCAACGGACCCACTGGCGACTGGTGCAACAGGCTCACTGGCTACCGAAGCAAGGGCGACGGACTACAGGCGCTGCAGGCGACACGACAGCTACCTCCACACAACCTCCTCCAACTGACCCACACCCTTGACACACACCCCCTGCTGAACCCCTAACTCCACTCCCACGTCACCCCCCTAGCACCACTCCTTCGGCTCCCACACACCCACCCCCCTGAGCGGCAGCTGCAGCAGCGGGAGACGGAGGAGGAGGAGGAGCAGGGGACGGCGCACACAACCGGCACCCCCACAACCATCACCCCCACACTCCCCACCCCCAAACCCTAAAACGGGTGGCACGGGGTAGGAGCGCGGGGGACGGCGAGGGGGACGGCGCGCGGCCCCCAGGGCGCCACCACGGGGCAGCGAGGGGGGCCGCGCGCGGCGCCAGGGGTGGCGCGCGGCTCCAGGGGTGACGCGCGGCCCCCAGGGCGCCACCACGGGGCAGCGAGGGGCCGCGCGCGGCTCCCCAGGGCGCCGCGACGTGACGGGCGGGGGCAGCGCGTGCTCCCCAGGGCGCCGCGACGAGCAGGGCGGGGGCCGCGCGCGGGTCCCCAAGGTAGGAAACCGCCGCGCGCCTCGGGGCGCACGGCGGGCAGAAAACCGCCGCGCGCCCCGAGTGCACGGCGTAAAGAAAACCCGAAAAATAATTCGCCGAAGAAGGAGTCGCACGCCACGGGGCGTGCAACAGACAGAGTAGCAGCGGAAGCAGTTAGGTGGGCCCACAGGCCAGGAGCGTAGATGCTCTGATAGCATGTGAGAATAGTGAGCACAGTGAGGAGCCATAGCTAGGGTTTAGCTAGCTAGGCAAGAGAGAAATGAACAAAGGAGGGGTTTCACTAGCAGCAGTTTGGATACATATAGCAAACCCTAACAGGGTTGTACTCGCTATAGAGCACCCCACTACAGGCTAGATAATAACATTCTGACAAATACCCCCCGTTTCGCGTCCCACAAGGTCTTCGCGGCCCCTCGATCCCGTCGCCCCGCTTCCCATCGCCCCGCTTCCCGTCGCCCCGCTTTCCGTCGCCCCGGCTCCCTGTAGCCCGCTGCCGCTCCTTAGCCCGTCACATTACCCGCGCCCCATGCCCGTCCCCCCCCCCCCCCGTCGCGGCTGTTCGCGTGTGCAGCGGCGGTCGCTGTGTGGGGAAGAGGGAAACGGGGAAGGGAGTGGCGGCGGATCGCTGTGGGGGGGAAGAGGGCAAAGGGGAAGGGAGTGGCGGCGGAACGCCAGCGACGACCGCCAGCGCACCGGCGATCCCACATCACCTGCTGCTGCAACCCGTCGCCCGCGCGCTGCCCGTTCCTGCAGCCTACCGCTCGCGCCGCCGCCCGCCCAAAAACTTCCTCCTTCCCCCACCCCCCCCCCCCCTGTCGCCCCCACCCACGCTCCCGCCAGCTCCAGCCGCGCTTGCGACTGCTACCGTGCTAGCTCGAGGTGGTGGGGGTGGCGGCCAGTGGGGAAGGAGCGGGTGTGGAGGCGGAGGTGGTGGGCTGTTGGGGGGAGGGTAAGGGGGTGCCAAGAAGGATTCTGCGGCCTCAACCGCCTCCTCCTCCTCTCCCTCTCAGTCTCGCATCTGCTACTGTGGGGGGAGGATGAAGGTGTGTGGGAGTGGAACTGCACCCCCATCCGCTGCCACCACACCTCTTCCTTGTTCTCTCTGCCGCTACTACTGCTGTGGGAGAGAGGTTCAGGGGGTGTGGGTGGTGAGAGTTCAACTGCAGCATCATCCGCCTCCTCCTCCTCTCATCCCTTGCTGCGCGTGCCTTGCTGTCCACCCGTGATTCTGCCCGTGATTCTGCCCGTACTGCTGCCCGTGATTGTGCCCGTGATCATACCCGTGTGTTGCCCGTATTTTGCCCGTGTTCTGCCCGTGATCCTGACCGTGATTCTGCCCGTGATTCTGCCCGTGTTGTCGCCCGTGATTTTGCCCGTGATTTTGCCTGTCATCCTGCCCGTGTTGCTGCCCGTTCCCGTGCCATACTGCCCGTGCCCACCCGTGTCTCCCGTTGCTGCCCTTGTTCTACCCGCGCCCAGTGTCCCCCGTTCTGCCCGTGCTGCCTGTTCTGCCCGTGCTGCCCCGTTGTGCCCGTGTTGCCCCGTTCAGCCCTTGTCCTGCCCCGTTCTTCCTGTGCAGCCCCGTTGTCCCCGTGTTGCCCCGTTCGGCCCGTGTTCTGCCCTGTTCTGCCCGTGTTGCCCTGTTCAGCCCGTGTCCTGCCCCGTTCAGCCCGTGTTCTGCCCTGTTCTGCCCGTGTTGCCCCGTTCAGCCCGTGTCCTGCCCCGTTCTGCCCGTGTTGCCCCGTTCAGCCCGTGTTGCCCCGTTCTGCCCGTGTTGCCTTGTTCAGCCCGTGTCCTGCCCCGTTCAGCCCGTGTTCTGCCCTGTTCTGCCCGTGTTGTCCCGTCCAGCCCGTATCCTGCCCCGTTCAGCCCGTGTTCTGCCCTGTTCTGCCCGTGTTGCCCCGTTCAGCCTGTGTCCTGCCCCGTTCTGCCCGAGTTGCCCCGTTCAGCCCGTGTCCTGCCCCGTTCTGCCCATGTTGCCCTGTTCTGCCCGTGCTGCCCGTTTGTGCCCTACCTGTGCTGTCCGTACCCGTTCGTGCCCCACCCGGTCTGTGCTGCCCGGTCTCGTGCTGCTCGTCACCCCCGTGCGGCCCGTCCCGTACAGCACCTAGTTGCTACCCGAACCCGCTACCCGTACCCGTGCTCCTCGCACACCGTGCACCAGCTGCGGGGCGTTCAACCGCAGCCGGGCACCTGTTCCACCGCGGTGGTTCAGATGCTGCTTGGTGGTTGCTGCTTGTCAGCTTCAGAGGGGGCCCCTTGCTGGTGTTCCCACGCCCTGTAATGGGGATTTACAGGTGTACCCCTTCAAGGGGGGCTCTGCACATGGTTATGCACTTCAGGCAGATAGGGGGTGTGTCACAATAGATTTATATCTATTTTGTATAATCTGCCTATAGTGTAGCTGTTGTGTAATTCCCTTGTGTGGTGGTGCACCTCTTTCACCTTTGTTAGGTTGCTATATGTACTCGTGTGCTATAGTGAACCTCCAACCATTCTCCAATCCTCCTTGGCACCACTCCCTCGATACCCACTTGGCCTAGGCTTCTAAGCCTAGGCCCTTAGTTAAACCCGGTTACCAGCTAAGTTATTTTCTTGACACTTTTTCCACCCGGCGCCGACCAACACGTCGTTGAGCGCCAAGTACCACAGCAGCGGCGGCTGCTTCAGCCTGTACAGGCTCTTCAGCAGCTTGCACACCCGGCCGGTTCCGTCGTTGAAGTAGCCCGACTGGTTCATATACAGCACCCGGTTGAGCTTACTCTGCAGGAAGGCATTCTTCATGTCGAGCTGCATCACTTTGAGGTTGAAAACGGCGACGATGCTGAGGAAGTTCCGCAGCGTGACGTAGCTGCCCGCCGGCGCGAACGTCTCGTCGTAGTCGGCGCCGTACACCTGCGTGAAGCCCTTCACGACCAGCCTTGCTTTCTCGTGCTCGACTGTGTCGTCGATGTGGTACTTCGTCGTCAGCACCCACCGGTTCTTCATGATGTTCACTCCCGGTGGACGCTCGACCAGCTCTCACGTCCCCATGCCAATAAGGCTGCGGATCTCCTGTTCCATCGCGGCCTTTACCGCCACGCCCTTCCAGCTCGCCAACGCCTCCTTCACCGTCATCGTCAAGCTACCCCAACGGTGCTCGGGGTCGGCATGCATGTCGGGGTTGAGCTCCGGAAACTCCTCATCCTCCTCGGCGTCGTCGTACAGCGGGTCATCATCGTCCACCACATCGTACACCGTGGTGAAGGCAGCGGGGACGAAGAAGTTGGGTGGCCTCCGAATTCGGCCTGACTGTCTGGACCTCCACCATGTCGCAGTCGGTGGACTCCTCGATGTCCTCTCCTTCGTCACCGGCTTCGCTGCCCTCGTCGTCCTGCTGCAGCTCGGTCGACTTCCCGGCCGACTTCTCCCCTGTGGTCGGCTCCTCTGCCGACTGCTTGGTTGCCGACTGCTCCGTGGTTGGCTTCACCGCTTCCTGCTCCCTTGTCAGTTGCTACCCTGCTGGTGCTTTCTTCGCCGGCTTCACCCAAATCGGCTGTACCTCCTCGACCTGCTCCTCCACTATCAATGTCCACTTCCCTCCCACGTTGACTTGCTGCTCAACACGTTGGCAACCGGCGATGCTCTGGGCCGGCGCCGAAGGCGATGTCCCACTCTCCCCTCATCGCCGGGGGCCGACATCGAAGGCAGCCCACGCAGGTCGGCCACAAGGGGAGGGGTGGGAGGGACAGAGGGGGGGGAGGGAGAGGGGACATCCTCGACGTCCTCAGTAGTAGGCGCACCGACCTCGGCGATCAAAGGGAGCGTTGCCGTCGAGATGTCGGTCGGTAGGGTGGTCGGCGTTCGTCCCGACGTCGGCCCGTGCGGCGACTTCCACACCTCAAGCGACTTGTCATTGTAGAATACCACGTCAGACGTGGTGACCACCCGGTTGTCGGCGATTTTGAGGAGCTCCCAACCCTTGCTCTCCTCCGACACACCGAGGTGAAGGCCCCACTTGGCCTTGGGCTTCAGATTCCCACCACGCTGCTGCTCGGGGATCAAGAACTGCGCCATGCAACCCCACACCCGGGCCAGCGACAAGTCGGGCTTCTTCCCGGTGAGCAGCTGGTACGGCGTCGTCCCCGGCGGTAGCGCCGGCCGCTCAAGGCAGTTGTGGACCCAGACGGCCTGCCGCAGAGTGAGGTGCCATTAGTGGTGCTGCACGCCCATGTGTAGCAGCATCGTTCGGACCGCCTCCACCACCGTCTTCATCTCCTGCTCCGCCATGCCATTCTGTTGCGGTGTGTATGGGCAGGTCAGGTCGTGGATGATCCCCTTGCCATCCACGAAGTCGGTGAACTTCTTCGCGAGGAACTCCCCTCCCCGGTCAGAGCGCAGCATCAGCACCGACTTCTTCGTCTGTTGCTCAGCCACCGCCAGCCACTGCACGAACTCCTGCAGCACATCCGACTTCTTGGCGACCGGCCTCACCCACATGTAGCGGGTCTTGCGGTCCTTCAGTAGCAAGAAGTACAGGCTACCGTCCTTGGCAGCCACCCGAAATGTGCACGACAGCCAGCACGTCGTCGCCGTCGGAGCCCTAGTCAGGAAAGGTGTGCCACGCCAGCTTCCCACCGACGCACGAGACGCAAGGTGAATCGACGCCAGACGCCGACTTGAGGTCCAGCCCAGTGGAGACATCGTGCTTCGCCGAGCTCAGGATGGTATCCGTGCCGACGTGTACAAGCCTTGCATGCAGTCTGTCTGGCGTCGACTTCATCGTCGAGACTATCGCCCGCAAGGCCACCACCTCCGTCACGGGCGTTGTCGACTTCATCGAGCAGGGACGCAGGTCAGTGCAGAGGACTCGACCGGTGTAGGACGCCCGACCGAGGACGTCACCCGCCGCCGAGACGAGCAGCATCCCGTCGCCGTCCTCCTGCAGCTTCACACCGTTCTCCTTCAGCTGGCCGGCGGAAAGCAGGTTCGCCCACACGCCCGGGACATAGAGCACGTCGGGGATGAGCACCTGCTTCCTGGACTCCCCTTGCAGAGCGACCGTGCCGCCGCCCTGGACGTCCTGCAGCGCCCCATTGAAGCCGCGCATGTGCTTGACGTCGCCGCTCGGCTGCAGGTCGACGAAGACCTCCTTCGTTCCCATTAGGTGGTGGGAGCAGCCGCTGTCGAGCTGGACCACCGACGGGTTCACCTGCACAGCTGCCACCATCGCCTGGAAGTCCTCGCCGGCCTCCAGCGCCAACAAGACGGTCGGCTCCACCACGCCGACCAGCGAGCACGACACCTCCTTGTCGTCTCACCCTTTGCTGCCAGCAGAGGAGTCGGCGTCCTTCGCCGAAGTCGACTTTGTCGACTGCTTCTCCTTGCGCGGCTTGTTTCCTCCTCGACGGGACGACGGTTGCCAGACCTCCTGCGGCCTCCCTTGGCGTCGTCGTCGTCAGAGTCACTGCAGTCGGGTCAAAGGAGAGGTGGTTGGGGTCGCCGCACATCCAGCACTCCCTACGTCGACTTCCTCCTCCTCGACCGCTGTCCTTGGCCGATTTCTTCTTGTCAGCGTCCTTGGTTGGTTTCCACCCGCTATTACCACCGCCGCCAGACTACCCACGCTGCCCCGGTCGACCACCTTGCTTCGCCGGGGCGACGTAGTTCACCTGTGCCAAGAGCTCCTAGGACCGCTCAGCCTCCTGCATAGCCTCGTCCTGCAGGATGTACGAGGTCAAGGTGTCCTCGTTAAGCGTCGCACGCGTGCTCGGCGCCATCGACAGCCGCTTCAGTAGGTTGTAGCTGCTCGGGAGTCCCTGCATGACGTGCGTGACTTACAAAGCCGTCGAGTATTGCGCGGGGGCCATCCTTATGGTGGCGAGAATTCGCCGAGCTCGGTTGCAGTAGTCGGTCGCCGTCTCCTGGTTGCCCATACGCAAGTGTGTCAGCTGCCCCTCAAGCTGGGTGATGAACAAGGCGTCGGTGACTTGGTACGTCGACTTGATAAAATGCCACGGCCGGTGGCCGGCGTCGAGGTACTCTCTGGACGACTTCAAGGCGATCTACACGCCCGGTGAGCACCACCTCGAGATGACCGTGAAGGTCAGCAACTGCACAGCGCGAAACTCCGCACATAGGTCGGGGTAGATCTCCTCCGGCGTCGCCACGGTACCTCGGGCGAAGCCGATCAGCCCAGCTGGGGCTCAATGGCTTCCTTCCAGGTGAGAATGTCCGGTCGACCAACGAGCAAAGGGGTGACCAAGATCTTGTCCGGCGTAAACTTGAGTAGTTGTAGCTCGGTGCTATCCCGCCCGCAGTCACATGAGTCGCCGACATTGGCATCAAACCACTTCGACGTCCGCCGACGTCGCCCTGCGAGGAGCCTGCAGACGCCGACGACCGCACCCCTCGCGCCTGAATGCTGCCAACTTCATCGGCGTGAATCACACCACGCTGCCTCGACGTGCCTCCCACACTGCTGCCGACTTGGTCACCACCGACGTTGACTCCCACGTCGACGCCGCCCTCGGTGTTCACCGGTCGAGGAGATGCAGGCCGAGAAGGAGGGTGATCTCTGCGTTCGTTCCTTGATCGTTTGCTTGTGCTTGCACTACTTGCTGGTTCACTGGGAAAGTTGGCAAGGGTTTCACTAGCAAAAGTTCACAACAATGATTGGAACAACATTGGCAACACAGACGGTCGTCGGCGTGGGAGTCAACGGTTGGGTTGCTAGGTTTGGCAACTAGTCATTTGGCACCCTCCTTCTCGGCCTGCATCTCCTCGACCGGTGAATACCCCATGCCAGCTTTGCTAGGGATACATCAGACCTAGCAAAGCTGCTGGTCGACTGCCAGCGCAGCACGGTCGATCGTGTACCAGCACGACTTAGTCGACCACGCTCCAGCAGAGCAAAGTCGCGGCTTGCCAGCGACTGCAAGTCCGCGGTGCGCCAACGCTGCAGCAAGTCAGCTGCACAGCGTTGCACCCGCGGGACAACGGTGCACCTACTTCGCAGGTGCGCGCAGCTGGTTGGTGCGTCACTCCTCGTCACGAGCAAAGCACAGACGCCTGGCAGACTCCACGCCAGCGACTGCGCCCACCAGCCACGTCGACCTCGGGATACGACCCCCAAGGTCAGCCTCGCAAAAACCACCCTGCATGCTTCCGCAAAAGTCTGTCGCTCGGGTAACACGGTCAACCGGGCAACCAGGTCGAAACTGTTAGGTCGGCGTCCTCCCTGGTCGGCGTCCCCTTGTTGACCACTTCGGGACTAGGCCGCCGACTTCGCCAAGTCGTCGGCCA